ACGGTCTCTTCTGCCCGGGCTGACTTTGAACCGCGATCCTCAGATCTCAGCCTCCTGAGTAGCTAGGATTACAGGTGTGAGTCACCAGCGCCCGGCTAACATTTTAATTCCGTATTGTGGTGCAACCAAGCTTTTTAGTGATCCAAGTAATAAAGTGAGAAATTATCAGAGACTTTAGAGAGGAATAAAATATGTGCTAAGGGGGAAATATAAGCTGAGTCAAACAAGATGTAAACATTTCCACCGAGCCATTTCCCATGTCATGGTGGAAAAGAGAGAGAGAATTCAGCTGCTTATCTAATTAAACTAAGATAGATGGAGGCACCTAGCATGAGGACACATGGATTTATTTTCCTATTTATGCAGTTCTAGGCACACTTGGTGGGCAAGCACTGATTGACAACTAAGTGGCCCTCTTTGGCCCTGCCCCAGTATGAGGCTCTTACTGTCAATCATAGCATTGCCTATCTTCACTACTTTATAGACCCCAACCTCAGAGTTTGCAGAACTTAGTTTGCAGACTAAGTCTAACGCAGGATATTCACACATGGGTCCTCAACAACTCACTAACAGAGATGCTGTATTAGTGACATTAAATAAAATAGTTATTCATGCAGCAACAGATGGGGGATAAGAAGAAATCTATCAGATGGAGCAATCAGGAGTTGCTTCTTATAAATCAAGAAGAAGTCTTCAATCCCAACACTTCCTCTACCCCCAGAGCAGATGAATCTCTGCACTTGATTTCCAGGGCTTGTAGAAGATGGGCAACGCATTAGCAGTGAGACACTCCTATCTTGCTTTTGGTTAGGGTAGTAGTCCTTCACTAAAGTCATGTATGGAAAAATGGATTGGCTGCTGGCAAGGCCTGGAGGAAGTAATGCTGGGAGAGGTCCCAGGACAGACGCCTGCAGGAGGTGCCGTGTCCCAGGCATTCCAACAGACGCCGTCTCTCACCAATGTTTGCACAAATCAGCCAGGGAAATCAAGGCAGAGTGGCCAGGAAGGCAAGGGCTGGGGGAGCCAGGCGAGGAGGCGTTTAGAGAAGGAAGTCTCTGGCAGACCAAATTGAGATGGCTCCACGGGGAGTTCGGCAGCCGGGCTGAGTTGTAGAAGGCAAAACATCACGCCCACTTTGACCAAAGCCTGAATCGTGCATGTTCAGGGCAAAGAAGGAAGGAGGAAATGAAAACTTCTGCATTGTTCGAGAACCAGAGCACCACGCACAGTCACAACTTCCCTTAAGAAAGCCTGTCTCAGACTTGGAGGTGTGGTACAAGGTGTGGTAGAGGACCAGCCTTGAGTGAAATAGCCAAGCAAGCGTGTGAGGCGTGGAATTCAATCCCCGCGTGGAGTTCAATCCCCAGTCATGGTACATACATGCGCGCGTGTGTGTGCACATACACACATACATACAAAGAAATCCTGTCTCTTACCAGAAGCTAGACTACTCGAATGGGCCAGGGACATCTTTCAGGGCTTGCACATGGCTGGTGTTTAAGTAACAACTTTATTACTTGACTGAATTTTTAACAGAAAAGAAATACTTCCTTTAAATTTTAGGTGTACCCTGCATCTCCCACTCCCCATCCCAAAGATGCTTCTAGAAGGTCTAGGTGGATAACAGAAACTTAGTGTGGGCTTTTATTTATTTATTTTTAACCAAAAGGTCAAATTTCCATTATGCGATTATTTTGTGCACGTGTGATGAATCTTTTCAATGCTTATCTTAGAGCGCTGGGGAGGGAGAGGGGAAAAAACGCCATCCCTGCCAGCCTGTTGGATTGGGTCAATCACAGCTCAGTGAAATCTTTCAGGCACATAATTTATCTTTTCTTTGGCCTAGGGGGTAAATGCTCCATTTGTTCATGAATTCTTGCCTTGTTTTAATTATGCCATGCTCTGAATGTAGTTTTCTAAGGCACAAAAATAAGACTGTGGTTGTTTGTTATGTTTCCCCAGAATGAAGTAGAGGTTCGCTCTCTTTCTTCACATTCACAGTTCTGTGGCTTTGTGGTTGAAATTCCAATCCAGCCAGGAGGAGGGTCCAGTGATGTGGGGGAAGGGCTGTGTGTGTGGGGGGGGGAGTGGGAAACAAGGGAAGGGACAGCTGACATGGAACAGCCCTGGCATAATTTACTCTAAGAATTCTGAATCGATACATTGACACCCATCTATGCATGCTGAGGTCTTCCCTCCAAGAAAGCCATTGATTAGAAAACTCCATTGACATTCCCTTCTGAGGCCCACATTCCCCCAAGATCCCAGAGGACAATGCGTGTCTTCCAATCACAGATGTATCTAAGGCGTCTGAAGAGAAACTTTCACAAATCTGAAATCTAACTTTTCCCCCTTAACACTCCTTGCACACTTACGAGTTGAATACTCACATGTTCCCAGGCTGCAAGAGAAATGGCAAAGTCATCACTTACATAAATAAATGTCTTACACACACCTAATGCAGAGTGGACATTCATAGTCAAAATGGAAATTTGCAGTGTCACCTTGCATGGTCAGGGCAGCCTGGCACTGGTGGCTCATGCCTGTCACCCTAGCTACGTAGGAGCAGCTGAGATTTGAAGATTGCAATTTGAAGCCAATCCGAGAAGGAAAGTCTGTGAGACTTTTATCTCCAATGAACTACCAAAAAGCTGGAAGTTTAGCTGTGGCTCAAGTGGTAGAATGCCAGCCTTGTGTGTAAGGCTCAGGGATAGTACCCAGGCCCTGAGTTCAAGTCCCAGGGACAGGTATGAAGAAGAAGGAGCAGGAGAAGTAGAAGGAGAAAGAGAAGAAGGAGAAGGAGAAAAAGGAGGAGGAAGAAGAGGAGGAGGAGGTGGCGGCGGCAGAGGAAACAGTAGCAGATATGCTACTCATCTCATAAACAGTTTGGCGGAGGAAACAGTAGCAGATATTCTACTCATCTCATAAACAGTTCAATCTTTTCTTCACTAGGAAAGAATTGGCTTTGGTCTAGCAAAGAAACAAATATTTATTAAGAAATCAAAATCACCACATCCAAATGTCTTCAGAGGCCCATCAGTAATGAAAATTCAATAGGACTTTTTCAAGGAATTCCACAGATACTTCTGCAGACTGAAAACTAGTTTATAGCCCCCAGGGGAGTAGCTTTTGGGGTCCTGGCCTATGGGTTGCTCCTCGGGGCACTGCGGCCAATTCTCCTGGGCTTGTGCCCTCAGAAGAGCGCTCTGCATGGCCATCCCAAGTTTATTCATTTGTCATCTCCCACTGGATATCAAGTCCCAGAAGGGCAGAGACAGTGCCATGCAGCAACGTGGCCATGTATGCCTGGCACTTTTCACATTTGCTAAAGGGCAGGTGCCTGGATGAGTTTCAAGCCTTACAGTTTGAATTGCACCAGCAATAATGCAATCAGCTTCTGGAACTGGTGCAGTTTGGAAAAGAGACATTAGAAGGGGGGAAGTTAAATTTATAAATGGAGTCTCGGGCATCAGCTCTTAGAGACTGATAGAAATAGGTTGTAAGTGCCTGGCCATGGAGCCTCAGTTTCTCCCAAGTTCAGCTGTCTGCTATGTTGAGCTGACGTGTGGCTGTCACAATGTAATTCTTGTTGTCAGCCTGGGTGCATTTAAAGCACAGGTTGACCAACGTTCACTTGCTTTAGGAAAAGTAAGCTAAGAATAGCCTGGCCTTGCAAGTGCTGGATGAAAGAGTTATTAGCACCCTGTTAATGTCTCATGACATTATTATTAGGACAAAGGTATCGGGTGCCAGTTTGGAGACACAACCATACCCTAAGGAGCACAGCCCATCCGATCCTTTGCCTCCTAAATCAGGAGCATTTAACTTTATTCTTACAATTTAATAAATAGTGTTATTGCTAAGTCTTCTAAAACAAGGGAACATTGCCTTCAAATGCAACTTTTATTTCCTCTATATTCCAGGAGTTCTTTTCCTGCGTAGAACACAAGCTCTCATGGTTAATGCTTCTCACTGTAACAGTAACAAATAATAATAATAAATAATATTAGCTGCCTTTCTTTGCCCAGGAAACAAAACAATGGATTCAAGATATCTCCCTTAAAAAATCTACTTTTTACACAAGTCTTGTTCTAACTTGTTGGAAATTGATTTGTATACAAACCATTCTGTGCAGGTCTGTCTCTTCCCCCTCCTATCTCAGTGCAAAAGAGAGCAGAAGATCCACCATCATGGAAACCTGTCCAGCCAAGCCTATACCCATTCTCTATGCAAGAGATTTGAGATGGGCAGGGTATGGGCCTTTTTAAGGAACAACTTTCTCTTTCTCTTTCTTCTTCTTCTTCTTCTTTTTTTTTTTTTGCCAGTCCTGGGGCTTGAACTGTGCAATGTCCCTGAGCCTCTCTGCGTTCAAGGCTAGTGCTCTACCACTTGAGCCACAGAGCCACTTCTGGCTTTTTCTGTGTGTGTGTGGTACTGAGGATTCAAACCCAGGGCTTCAGCATGCTAGGCAAGCACTCTTCCACTAAGCCACATTCCCAGCCCAGTGTTCCACTTTCTGTCCAGACCCCACTGATCCTACCCATGCAGGCTGCACACAGCTCAGCCTTTGATTAGGTGGGAGAACTGATTTCCTCTGCATGTAACCCCTCTCCTCTTTTACATGCAATAGAAATAGCAGCTGTTTCTGTTCTTCTTGGAGATGTTTCTGCCGGGGGGACCTGGAGGAGAGGCTGAGCTGCTTGTGCTATTTGTTCTAGAGGGACAGTCTGCTTGATAGCTAAGGTGCTTGTACGCCTATGGGGGCACTGGGTGCAGCCACTGGGGTTGGACAGACACCTAGGGCGCAGCCACTGGGGATGGACGGACACCCAGGGCACAGCCACTGGGGATGGATAGACACAGACACCCAGGGTGCAGCTGCTGGGGATGGACAGACACCCAGGGCGCATCCGCTGCAGTTGGACAGACACCCAGGGTGCAGCTGCTGGGGATGGACGGACACCCAGGGCGCAGCGCGCTGGGGATGGACGGACACTCACCTCGGTGGCAGGGCGGCTGTCCGCGGGCCCTGGTGGCCCGGCCGTCTCCCCGGCCGTCTCCCCGCGCTCTGCCCTCTTGGCTGCTCCTTGGTGGCCGCCTGGCGCCGTGTCCCCTCCCTTGTCCAGTGTGAAGAACTTGTGGAAGACGCTGGCGTCCAGGGGCTTGGCGGGGGCCCCGGCCTCGGGCTGGGGCGGGCGTGGCGCCGGCGAGCAGGTGGCAGGGGCGGTCTGGTCCCCGGCCGGGGGCTGCCCTGGGGTTTTATCTGCCCCGAGCCCGGGCACAGCTGGCCCCGGAAGTGCCATGTGCTCACTCGGGCCTTTGTCCGCGGGGGCCCGGCCCGCGCTGACATCCAGCCCGGCGGCTGCAGCCGATGAATCCCAGCCTTGGTCCCCGGGACGCCCTGGTACCGGCCGGGAGAGCATCAAGAAAAAACGCGATTTAGCAGCTGGTGCCTGGGGCTTGGCCGCCTGCCCGAGATTCTTTCCGCCGGCCCCGGCCACAGCGTCCACCTCCTGGGCCTCGCGGGGAGAGGCAGCCGCTTTGTCCTCCCGAATGCCGATGCCCAAGTCCACTGCAACACAAGCACAGACAGAGGCCAGTCACCAGGCCGGGGAACCCCAGGGCCACAGCGGACCCCAGGGCGCGCTGCGCCCAGCGCACAAGCCAGGGCGACAGCTTCCCGGTTCTGATCTTCTTGGGAGAGGTGGTAAGGGGGGAGACACGGTCCCCAAAAGCCACTTGGCTGCCAGACCCTGTCCTAAACCCGAAACCACAACGGGAGGGCTAAGAGAGCAACCACAGCTTCGGTGCTTCAGTGTGAGAGCATTAGCCTGGCAGATAAATCGTCCTGGGGTTGCTCATCAGGGCCACTCCTGGGACTTTTGCTAAACTTATCATTGCCTCACTTACTTGTGCTTGGATTCACAAGCCAAATCTGTTTGTGTTTTTTTTTTAAACACTATAATTTTATTGTTATTATTAAGGTGTTGTACAGAGGGGTTACCATTTCTGTCTGGATTGGCTTTATTTAGAATGTTTAAAATCATAATTATAAAGGTGATGTTTTCATAACCCTGGTGGCCCCACTGGGTGGTGGCTAACACAGAGGTCCAAACACAGACAAGACCAGTGTCTGGAGATCCAGGAAGTAGGAACCTAATGTGTCATTTGAACTTCTGGATCCAGCCTGAAGGTGAGCTCAAACATGACCCCAAACAGTAATTACCCATCCTCTCCTTATGCTGGTTTAAATGGAGCAGATGTTTAGGGAGTGACCTGGAGAGAGTCTCAGAGAACTGGTCAGTACCTGTCTCTAGTAGAGTCAGTAGGTATGAACTCCCCCAGGGAATGCCTCTAGATTCTTCTACCCAGTCTAACAAGTATTTAGGAAGGAGGGGAAGGAGCAGAGAGATAAATACAGGAAAGGGACTGTGTGGAAATAAGACTCATTTACCAACATTTTGTCTTATCAGTAGAAACATCCACATGGAAAGAGAGACCGTAGCCACCTGACACTGTAGTCAAAGCAGATCAACTGAGTGCTAAAACAAATGCACACCCAGGCCTGCAAAGAGCACTATGTGAGGAGAGCAGACTCCTCCAATCTGTGTGAGGAAGCTTTGCAGTTCTGTCTGAAAGACTCTTACAAAGATGATGATGGTTAGCTGGGTATTGGCATTCACGCTGTAATCTTAGCTACTCAGGAGGCTAAGATCTGAGATCGAGGTTGGAAATCAGCCCAAAGAGAAAAGTCCATGAGATTTTTTTTTTAATCTCTAAAAAAACCACCAAAAGGCTGAAAGTGAAGCTGTGGCTCCAGTGGTAGAATGCTAACCTTAAGTGTAAAAGCTCAGGGACAGTCCCTGGCCCTGAGTTCAAGCCCTAGGACAAGCACAAAAAGAAAAAAGAAAAAACAAAATCAGAAAGAAAAAAAGAAGATAATCAAGCTAGCATGTGAAGCCCTGAATCCAAGCCCTGGTACCAACCAGTACACATATGTGCACATGTATGTGCATATGTACACATATATACACACACACAGACTGCAGTGACATAATTAAAAATTTTTTTTGTCGGTCATGGGGCTTGAATTCTGGGCCTGGGCACTGTCCTCAGCTCTTCAGCTCAAGGCTAGTGCTCTACCACTTGAGCCATAGCGCCACTTCTGGTTTTCTGGTGGCTTATTGAAGATAAGAGTCTCACGGCCTTTCCTGCCCAGACTGGCTTTGAACCACAATCCTCGGATCTCAGCCTCCTGATTTGCTAGGATTACAGGCATGAGCCACCAGCGTCTGGTGACATAATTTTTTTTAAAATAGTGTAGTGTATTGGCTATTGATCTCTCACTGTGAGTAATTTATCAATTGAACGTTATCCTAAGTATGCCTGCACAGGAGCCAGCCCAGTACAGAGAGGCTTTGTACTGTCTACAATTTCTGGTAGCCCTTAGGCTACCATGGACGAGGGAAGGCCACTGGCAGAGATCCCAGGGCAGAGCCTTGCAAGCACTTAGCAAAGATGGCAGACACAGCCATCCTGCGGTCGTTTCCGGCTAAGATCTTATTATCTGAATCCTCCCACTTCTGAAGGCTAAGAGGGAAGCAGAAATGGCTCATCATGATCTTATCTGCAAACAGGACATCCACTTAGGAAAATGTTCCTCACAGCCCTACTTCCTATGTAACTGGCTTGTGTGTTGGTATCCTGGCCTGCAGGATAAAGGATGACTCCCCATTGCAAAGAAAAATCGTGCACCGGGTTGGGAAGGTGGCTTAGTGGTAGAGTGCTTGCCTTGTATGCATAAGGCCCTGGGTTCAATTCCTCAGCACCACATAAGTAAAAATATGCTGGATGTGGCTCAAGTGGTAGAATGCTAGCCTTGAGCTGAAGAGCTAAGGGACAGCATTCAGGACCCATGACTGACAAGAAACAAAACAAAAATCGTGTACCTTGCCAGAATGACAGGACTTTGGAGGATCATGTGGATTCATGCGTATGAGCATCTCAAGATCAGGGCCATTGTAAGATCAAGATCTGACAATGCTACGACAGTTCGTGGAAGATGAAGGGAAGAAGTTCTTCAAAAGAGAGTTTTCTTTGACTATCAAAGGGTTGGGAAGAGCCCTTGGGAAAACCAGGGAGGCCACCCAAAGCTTTCCAGGAGGACCCATGACCGGAGTCAAGTGACACTTCAAACAGCTGTGGCTTTCTGTGTTGTGCAGATGAATTTGTTGTTTTTAAAGTCCGGGAGTCAGGATCCTCATGGCTTGGAGGGAGAGGCTAGATTTGAACATTTCACTGAATGATCACATTTCATGGTTGTCATTTCAATACCAAAAGCAAACACAAAAAAAGCCAGGATGGTTTGGCCAAGAAATTCTAGCCTGAATGAAAGAGTGGTTTTAGGGGCGTTTTGGAGGAATTCTGATTACCAGCTGGGTCTGGACACTTAGCAATGAAAACACTGGGTGCCGAAGGAATGTGAACAGAAGGTAAGAGCTAACCCTGTGCTGTCCAGAGAACACCTCCTAAACTAAAGGCAGCTGTGGTCATCAGTCATTGTGGGGTAAAACTGTGACATGCCCTCCTCTTCACTCATGCCTCCAAAATCCTGGTGATCACCACGTTAATTCAGGTGTAAAACTAGCAGTTGCTCCAATAGGAGCACATATTATCCCTCAAAGACACATCTGATACCTGATTTTCTCTTGGGTTTGTATTCCTCAATTGGATATGAATATGCATGTAGCCTATGAGGGCTACCAGAAGTGACTGATCTCTCGTAATGTTTTTCCTTCTCTGCCTCTCAAACCAGATGTGGCTTATCAAACGGCACATACAAATGTGTACAGATGTAGAGGCCAGGCAGGCATATATGAAGGATTTTTTTTTTTTTTTTTGTCAGTCATGGGGCCTGAACTCAGGTCCTGGTTGCTGTCCTTCAGCATTCCAGCTCAAGGCTAGCACTCTACCATTGAGCCACCTTCCCAGCCCCAGGATTTTTAAATAATCCTAAAATCAGGCTGTCATTGAAGTAGCTCCTTGTCTGCCCTGGGATTCCTACAGCAAGTCACACCTGGAGCTGCGTGAAGACATTGCGTGAAGACTGCCACACACTGTTCTCTCTGTCCTCACACTTGGTGGCACTAGAATCTCCCAGAGGGCTGCAGAGGCTGGAGCTGGCCCGAGTCCTTGCAGGGGTGGTGAGGCCTAGTCGGGCACAAGAAGCCTGAGAAATCATGTGTACAACATGCATGAGACATGTCCACTTCAATGCTTCCTGTCCACTGCCCATGGCCATCTGCCTGTACTGGTAACTTTGTATAACCCCCAAAAGATGTTAAAAATATCCAGAGGGAGCCAGGCGCTCATGCCTGTAATCTCAGCTACTCAGGATGCTGAGATTTGAGGATCTCAATTCCAAGTCAGCCTGGGCAGGAAAGTCAATGAGACTCTTTATCTCAACTTAACTCTCTATCTCTAAAAAGCAGGAGAGGAGCTGTGGCTCAAGTGATAGAACACAAAACTTCAGGGGCAGCACCCAGACCCAAATTCAAGCCCCAGGACTGGCAAACACACACACACACACACACACAAACACACACACACGCACGCACGCACGCACGCACGTGTGGGCGCGCACACACACACACACACAAATCCAGATGGCCTTTGGCAGAGAGAAAGGCTCCCCCATCCCATCACAGGCTTGGTTCTTATCTCTGGGTTTTGACAACAATACAGGCAGGTGAACAGGGCCCTCAGGGACTTCTTTCCTAGTTTTGCAAACAGTTTTGTTTCTTCTTTAAAGAATAAACAGGTGCTGTGATGCACCTGGAGGCTGGGGCAAGGAGGGACCTGAGTTCAAGGCTAGCCTGAAGAATAGAACAAAGCCCCTCCCCCCCCGCAAAAACAACAAAAAAACCCTAATACAAACATCAAGAACATAGCCCTGCAGTCAAACGTGGAGCAACTGGGCAGCAGTGTCCGGAGCCTTTGCACTCTGTCAGGGAGTGCTGATTTCTAGCATTGTTCGTGAGCTCAAGTGTCAACCAACACCGGTGAAGGCGGCCACTTTCATATCAGTAGTTGGGCTTTGATCAAGTATCAACTTTCAATTTGACTAAAATAACTCCACTTACACATATTTACTTTTTTTGTGTGTGCAAGTCCTGGGGCTTGAACTCAGGGCCTGGTCTCTGTCCTTGAGCTTTTATGCTCAAGGATAGTGGCTCTGGAGCCCACAGCTTCACTTTCAGGTAAGAGTCCCACAGACATTCCTGCCTGGGCTGGCTTTGAACTGTGATCTTCAGGTCTCAGCCTCCTGAGTAAGATTATAGGCCTGAGCCACCAGTGTCTGGCTCATATTTACTTTTTAAGAACGCAAACCAGGCATTTCCTCCTTTTAGGAAACATCGAATAGATACCAGAGGAAGATATCAATTTTAGAAACTTCTCATCCACGCAAGCAGAGGCATTGTTCGGTTGCTGAGAAACCATGAGTCTACAGATCAATCCTGTCAGCCTCTGCCATCCCTAAGAGAGAGGACCGAGCAATTGTTTTATCTCAAGAGGCTCATGCGGCTCATGCTCCAGCAGGCAATCAAAGCAAGAGAAAAATGGGGCACTTAAGGCACAAAATGAAGGTTTAGGCGTAAATACTCAGATGGGGAAAATCTGGCCAGAGGCTCCACAAGGAAGAGCCACCAAGGGTGGGCAGGGGGGACGGACCCTGGCTGGTGCTGGCCCTGACTGGGGACTGGCCTGGTGCTGGCCCTGACTCCTCTCACCTCGCTCACGCTGAGAAGGGCTGTCGTTGAGCTCCCTCTCAGAAGCTTGGACTACCAGATTCCTTGCGGAGGTGACGCAGAGAGCGAGCGGCAGTGCTGGGATCCGCAGCCAGGCTGGGCAGACTCCCACCATCAAGGGCACTGCTGTCTCAGAGAAACGCACATCTTGTCTTTCAGTTCTGAAGGTCGCCAGTGAAAACCAGGCTGCTTTTAGAAGCTCTAGAGGAAAACTCTTCTTCCTCAACTTCTCCAGCACCCAGAGGTCACCTGCACTCCTTGGCTTGTGGGTCCTCTGCCTCCAAGTTCAAGGCAGCTGCAGAGCCTCTTTAGATATGTCCATCTGTCTGTCTGTCTGTCCATCCGTCTGTCTGTCTCTCTGTCATCTGCTCCCATTAGATCTTCTTTTCCTGCTGTGTCCTCTCTCCTCACTCCTTGTAAGGATCCTGGGGGTTGTGCTGGCGCGCTTGGTAATCCCAGATGGCCTCTCCCTCACAAGGCCCTTCATCTCAAGTCCAGAGTGTGCTCCCGCCGGGTACGGTGACACGGTGGTCACAGGCCGATGTCATCCTAGCAGAAGGGACATTGCTCCTGTCCTGCAGGCCCTGCCTCTCATGCCCTGGGGCCTCACCAGTGGACACCGGGAGAGCCAGTGTGCTCCCTGGGGTGGAAGCTGTCTGCGGAGGTGCTGACTGAGGGACCGATGGCTGCTTCTGGGTTTGGGGAGCAGGACACGGGCACAGCACACCCACAGACACTCAGCATGCCTGTGATAGTACAAGGGCACAAATGGGGTTCTCTGAGCACCTCCTTACTGAGACCTTACTTCTCCCCTGCCCCCCCTTTTTGGTGCCAATACTGGGGCTTGAACCCAGGTCTTGACACTGTCCCGTAGCTGTTTCCCCTCTAGGCTAGCACTCTATCTCTTGAGCCACAGCTCTACTTTTGTTTTCTTCTTCTTTTTTGTTGGTAAGTTAGATAAGAGTCTCACGGCCTTTCCTGTGCAGGCTGGCTTTGAACCACAACCCTCAGATAACAGCTTCCTGGTAGCCAGCATTACAGATGTGAGCCAGTGGTGCCTGGCTGCCCAGTCCTTTCTGGCCCACACCTGCCTCTTCCAGCCTGGCTCCAGGGTGGAGGTCTGTGTGAGGGTGCAGAGACTGGCGACCTTTCTCCGCAGCATGGTTTCCCGGAAGCACCGTTCTGTTATCCACGAACAAAATGTGCATGGCATCGCATGGGCATGGTGCTCGCACCGCTTGGTGTGAATCCGTGGCATGCCTCTCCTCAGGGAGTGACTTTTGTGACAAAGTAAACTTGAAAATGTGTCTCCTGAGGTGACTGAAATCGTCTGCTGCCTTGGGCTTTCTCGCTTTGCTTTTTTTTTCAGGTGACAAAGGGGAGCCATGGCTGTCATTCGCAGGTCTTACCGGATGGAGGATTGGCCAGTCCCTGGGGGCTGTGGCATCTCTGTGGCTAACACCTGATTAAATGGGGGGCATTGCAGTCTCCTTCCAGGATGAGGGGTTGCATCTGGCCCTGAGGGGGTACAGTCCCTGCCTTCCTGTTCTGTCCCTCCAACTGTGTCATCGTGGGTCACTCGGCCACAGGAGAGCTCGCCTTCCTCCACTCTTCACCAGGGTCTACAGGTGGACAGCCCCACAAGGAGCCCCCCAACCCCGTACCCAGCAGAAGGGGACAAGCTCCACTGCGGGGCAGGGTCCATCCTGATCTCAGTCAGTGTCAGCAACGTGTCCCATGAGGCCACCGTGTAACACGGCCAGCGCCTGGAGATCCAGGACTCTAAGCTAGACTCCAAACTCTCTGAAGTGTTCCTGGGGCTTTCCTCTCAGCTCATGCAGACTCCCCTGTTCTTCATGCAGACAAGATGGGCACTGTTACAAGCTGAACCAGGTCCTAATTCCTGGGAGTGGGGCTTTATTTGGGAATAATCACGTGAGGTCCTAAGGAGGACCCTAGCATGTGTGTGTGTGTGTGTGTGTGTGTGTGTGTGTGCGCGCGCGCGCGCACATGTGTAGGGCATGAGGACCCGGAGCAGACCTCCCTGGGGAGAAGAGGGCCACTCCCAAGTGTGGACAGAAAGCAGGTCCTCCCTCCCCACCTCAGGGGGAGCCAGCCCTGCCACATCTGGATTCGGAGCCTGTGGCTCTAGTGTTGTGAGCCAATCAGCTTCTGTGGTTTACAGTGTCAGGGAACAAATAGAGAGCTTCCCAGATGAGCCCGCGGTGGCTTGGCCCTTCCCCTCTGCCTGTCCCTGTCCCAGGCTCTGAGCCCCCCCCCCCCCGGCTCAGCCCAGCGGGGTCGCTACCTTCATCGTAGTGCTGAACTGTGTGAGTAGACAGGATCACTCCAACGCCGTTTTGATCACAGTCCCCATCCCATGTGACCTGCAACAGAACCAGTGGCGTTACCCGGCAGGCCTGGGGAAAGAACTCAAGGCTACATGGGTGCCACTGGAAATTCAACCGAACTAAAAGGCTATGTTTCTGGGAACCACCCAGCTTGCTATCTTACCTCAGAATGCGCACAGCACCCACGCCTGGGCTGGCCTCTGTCATCGCCCAGGGGACCTGAAGCGGAGGGGATGGGCACAGCCACAGCAGGCCCTGCCCCCCTCCCGTGGAACAGCTGGGATGCGGGGGATGGAAGCGGGCATGGTGTGAAGCAAGAATTTCCTGTGCTGAACTTCCTCCACAGCTGTGTGGGCTGAACCTCACCCAGATGTCTCTCACACACGCAAAACCATCATCCACGCCCCAAGTCCACATACTTGCCAAGTGCAGCAAGTTTATTGGGGTATGGATATGGGTGTGTGCACATTGCATGCAAGCACATACATGCATGCAGATGTGTGCATGGGTGTACTCACATATAATAGGTGCACATGCACACACATGCATGTATGAGCATACATGTATATGCATGCCTGCAAATTTGCATGCATGTACATATGTGTGCACATTTGCACATGTGTGCATGTGTAATGTGCATGTGTGTGTACACACGTGCTTCTGTTCAATACTCCATCTTTGTGTTCGTGATCTTTATCTAGGTTTAAGGCACTACCTGAATTATTATTATTATCATTGTCAGTTGTAGGTCTTGAACTCTGGCCCTGGGTACTGTCCCTCAGCTCTTTAGTTCAAGATGAGCACTCTACCACTTGATCCACAGCCTCATTTCCAGTTTTCTGGTGGTTCACTGGGGATAAGAGTCTCATAGACTTTACTGTCCCAGGCTGGCTTTGAACTGCAATCCTCAGATCTCAGTCTCCTGAATAGCTAAGATTACAGGAGTGAGCCACCGGCACCCAGCTTCTTTTTCTTTTAGAACTAGACAATGTTTGAAAATAGAGCGATTTTATGAATGCTGTTTCCAATTCTAAGTGACAAACGAGGCGTGTTTGTTGGCTGCTGCCAGAGCCCGTCAGGCAGCCCTGGGCCTCCATTTCTCCATGGCAGAGCCTCCTGGTATACTCTGCCTCTTTCTGCCTGGCTCCTGGGGACTGCTCTGGGGGTCATCTGGGGACCTTGCTCTTGGCCACAGGCTGTGCTATCTGTTGGTCTCAGGTGGACTTAGCAGCAGCAAAGCATCCAGGAAAGGCTAGCTTGCAGAGTTGAGGTCCACCGTGCAGGCCTTTGCATTGGAGTTCTGCAATTCCTTCTCTCCTGAGCAGGGTCCTCTGCTGAGTGACCCGCACCAGCCCTTGTGCCCTCCTTCTGCAGGACTTCCATGTCTGCACTTATCCACGTCTTCAGCTGAGTGGATGGTGGCAGACCTGGTTTCTGCTTTCTGGATGTAGGAGCTCCAAGAGGTGTCTGGATGGCTTTGGCCTCGTTCTTCTGGGGACAGAACCCAGGGCCTTGTGCTCTGCCAGGGCCACACCCTGAGCCATGGCCTTGCTCCGAGGGTAGTCTTCCTTCAGCCAGACTGCGTTCTACCAGCCAGGACGTGAGCATCTGCCCTCGCTTCCCCACAGATGGAGTTTCATTGGTCTACAGGGCAGCTCAGGCCCCACAGGGTGGGAGGTTCCCAGGGGCCCCCCACGTCAGCTGAGATCTCCAGTCACTGATGAGAACCTGGGGTTCTCATTCTTGACACGATGAACATTTGGGGCAGTGAAGTCTTTTCCCACAGGGGCCTCCTGTGTGTTCAGAAGCAGCCCTGGCGTCTGTGCGCTCCATGTCAGAGCCGGTTCCCCTGCGCCCACTCCACATACCCTCAGGAGCGGCGATGGGTGAAATCTACCACCAGATCACTCCTGAGGGCAGGCTTCAGATCATCTTCTGGGGATGACTTCTGGAGACCATCTCTACAATGTCTGCTTTCGGGCCAGGCCAGCCTCAGGCCTGCGTTTTTAGTTAGCTCCTTAGATTATGTCAGAGGTCTTGTTTTTGTTTTTGGTGCTGGTCCTGGGGCTTGAACTCAGGGCCCGTGCACTGTTCCTGAGCTCTTTTTGCTCAAGGCTAGTGCTCTACCACTTAAGCCTACCTCCAGCTTTTTTGGGTAGTTAATTGGAAATAAGGGTCTTACGGACTTTCCTGCCTTGGCTGGCTTTGAACACTGCAATCCTCAGATGTCAGCCTCCTGAGTAGCTAGGATTACACGCATGAGCCATGATCACAGGCGTGAGCCACCGGCAACTGGTTGGGTCCAACTGTTTTATCAAGCCACAGTGACATCAGCCCCCACCCCCACGCCTTCCTCTGTGTGAGCGGTGAGCAGACCCTGACCTCTCTTCCTCTGGCTCTACCCATTAGCAGTGTCCCAGTGACCCCATCTCCTCTACCTTGTGAATGTGAGTGTCGGCTTCTGATTCATTCTCCTGCTCTTCAACTCTTTGTGGCACACTCATTTGGTTACCCATTGTTCCTGTAATAGAGACAAGGAGGGAAAGAAATCAAAACCCAACCCAAAGTGTCACAGTCACGGTGGAAGCTACGATGCACAGCCCGCCCCCCGCCCCGCCCCCATATCCAGGTTAGAGCACATTGCTTAGATTGGTTATAGGAAGGCAGATGTGTGCTCTTAGCCCCTCCCCTGCCATAGAAGGTCAAGGTAGCCTAATTTCCCGCTGCATATCGTGGCTGGTAGAAAATATTTATCATCATTCAAATGAACAGTTTGTTAGTTTTATTTTGTGGTGTGTGTGCTGGTACTGGCGCTGGAACTCAGGGCCTGGTGCTCTTGCTTGTTTTCTTCTTGTGCTGTGCCACTTGAGCTATTTCTTCACTTCTGGCATTTTGCTGGTTAATTGGAGATTAGTGACTATCTGCCAGGGCTGGCGTCACACTGTGATCCTCAGATCTCAGGCTTTTGAGACGCTAGGATTATAGGCACGAGTTACCAGCACTTGACTGTGTTTATAAACGTTCTCAATTTCTATTATCAAACACTTAAGGTAGCTTCTCAGACACAGGGCGGAGGGGACGGAAAGATGGGGAATCCAGTCTGTCCTTTGCAGATGTTACTTAGAATCAGGTCACACCACTTTCACCAACAATTATGCAGTACTTGTGAAATCCTTCCTGTCCATTCAACAATTTTTTTTTAAAGAGCAGGATTTATATGGAACAAAAGCAAGGGGTTACTGCCACCTCTTGGTAGACAGGTGTAACTACAACATAGATGATTTCGTTGGGTCTGCCAGCTGTGTTGAAAGGGGCGTTTTGATGGTTGGCAATTAAACCTCAGCTCACACTTGAAAGAGACTGGCACATCTTCCAATGCCCACAACATACTGCAACCAATAGAGCAATAAGGGCAAACCTTGGCTGATAGGTCTGGAGAACTCAACGCAGCAGCCCACCTCCAATCTGAGGATAAGGTAATTTTTCAAGATAACCTTGTTTAACTGAGAAAAAAAAACTAATTTTTGTGGTTGAATGTGGTGGCTCACACCTGCAATCCTAACCCAGGAAGGCTAAGATCAGGAAAATCATGGTTCGAGGCTAGCTTAGGTAAAAAGTATACAAGATCCCTTCTCAACCAATAAAAAGCTGGGTACAAGTTGGGCATTGCTGGCTTGCGTCTATAATTCTAGCTACTCAGAAAGCTGAGATTTGGAAGATCATGGCCCAAAGACAGTCTGAGCAGAAAAGTCTGAGATACTCCATCTCTAAACTTGCCAGCGAAAAGCAAGGATGGAGGCATGGTTCACGTGGTAGAGTGGCAGCCACGCAAATAAGCAAGTGCAAGGTCCTGAGTTCAAACCCTGGTACCACTAAGTTAAAAACAAATCAGAACTAGGTGCAGTAGTATATGTTTGTCATCCAGGCTGTGGAGGGACGCACACACCGGAGACTCATAGTCCTTGCCAGCCCTGATGAAAGCAAGACACTAATGGGAAAAATGGAAGAAAATGAAAAGGACTGGTGGTGTGGTATAAGTGGTAGAGCACCTGCCTATTAAGTGTGAAGGCCTAAATTCAAACCCTGTATTACAAAATGAAAGGTAAAAAGAAAATTGCCAGCCTTTATTTTAGCCTCCTTTTCCTAAATTAATGGAGGGAGGGAGGGAGGGAGGGAGGGAGGGAGAGAGAGAGAGAGAGAGAGAGAGAGAGAGAGAGAGAGAGAGAGAGACCTAGGACTTGAATTTAGGATCTGGGTGCTGTCTCTGAATTTTTTCACTTAAGGCTAGTGGTCTACCACTCAAGCTTTTTGGTAGTTAATTGGAGAGTCTCACAGACTTTCCTGTTAGGACTGACTTTGAACCATTATCCTTATGTCTCAGCCTACTGAGTATTTATTTAGTATTTAGTGTGAGCCACTGGTGCCTGGCTGGCATTAGTTTTGCTTTCAAAATCTTATTTGGCATTAAACACACTGTTACCTAGTGGTAAAGGTTTAAGTCCCTTCCCTCCCTCCTCTGTTGTAGTTTTGCTATTGCAGTCTGAGCAGATCAACATACATTCTGTGTGAGGCAATGGGGAATCCATTTTTTCACCCTCTCTTCTGCTGTATAAATCATGCCACAGTTTTCTTTGGTATTTGCATGGAACCCAGGAGCACATAGAATATAAGATATCTATTGCATGCCTGTCTTACCATAAGAAATTAAAAGTACAGGAGCATCGTGTGATCTAGGGTAGAGATGAAAAATCGGCCACTGATAATTGCACTCACTCAAAGGTGTGGTGTGAGTCGGTGAATAATGCTAGCTATTCCCAATACTATTTATTTCTCTTAGGAATGTGTGGTCTCATGAGCTCTATCCTCTGATTGGTGTGTGAGCGTGTCAGTCTGGCTGTTGCCCTAGCAACTGTCTCTTTGACACCAGTTGACAGGTAACAGCAGGCCCTCCTCTGAGAGCCTGAGCACACAGTGTGGAGAATCTGAAACTTCTCTGCCAGCAGGCAGCCAAGTGACTGCTGGGTGGAAGGGACAGGCCAAGGAAGGGCAGGATGGTGACAGAATGAGTCACCGAGTCAACAGAAACACCTTCGATCAATGCATCGGAATGTGGACAGGTGATGAGCGTGTGCACCACCCAGCCGAGGGCAAAGCCACCAGGGCGATGTGGGCACCCAGGCACAGCCAGCCCCCTGCTCCAGCCCTGGAGGACACGTCGTATGTGGATGACAACGGACTCGCTCTGCGGGCCCTGTCCCCACCCAGCTCCGTGTCAGCCTCAGGGCGCCAGGCACAGAAGAGCAGGCTGCTGATGGCACCCGGCGTGCCAGGGGCAGAAATGCTGCCCCTCATGGTGCTGATCACCCCCTGGGCCCTGGGATGGGACTCCAGGAGTCCCAGGGGAAGGGCTGGCACTGTGTCTTGATGATGTGTATGTCATTGTTGCCTAAGCAGATGTGCAGCTCACTCTTTTATTCTGAGCTATGAGCAGATCACAGGAAATGGTGTTCCCTCTGCACCTGTGGGGCAGGGATGGGCACAGAGTCCTCCCTCAGGGGGCAGGCCAGGTACAGTGTGAGGCGGGACATGGGTGCTTCCCCCCTGTCTACCCTCATCCTGCCCTGGCCCTAGCTGCTGCTTGTATCATCCTCCGCTGTCCCGAAGCCCCCCGATCCCTGATTCCACAGAGGAACCTGAGGCTTGGTGGGCGGTGTCTCCCTTCCCCTGATCCCGTGAGGGTGTACCTTGTTTTCCTTGCTCCCCATTTCTAGATGGAATTATTTAAAAAGCAGCAGTCAAACCGTGGGGAGATGGAGCTCGGATTTGAACCCAGGTCCCTGGGATTCAGCACTGATCTTATGTACTTTATGGCTACCCATTCTGTGCCATTCCCTTTGCCAAAATCGAGGGACTCAGAAGTCTCAAATCAAACCACAGCAGGAGCTAAGAGTCTCATCCTCCCTTCCTGGGGTCTGGTCTCCCTGGGTAGCCGTTATCCTTGACTAGCTGGGACAGAGGGCCTTTTAGAACCACTGCTTCCTAAAACACAGTCCCCTTTCCTCAAAAGAATATTCTCTGGAGGCTGGGCGTGGTGGTAACGCTAGCACTGAGGAAGCAGAGGCACGAGGATCAGGAGTTTGAAGCCAGCCTGTGCCACACAGAGAGACCCAGGCTCCAAAGAATAAAGAAACAACGTGCCGGTCAGACCTGTTCCCCAGGGGCTGAGCACTCTTCGCCAGGAGGAATCTGCTGCGACATAGGACATCGGTTTGTCCTGCTTCTCCCACTTAAACGATGGGAGCAGACCCTCTCCTGGCTTTTATGTAGGAAGAGCTATGTGCTGCTGCAGGACCCAGGCTAAGATGAGATCAAACTTAACTCTGCAGTTAGTCTCCTTTTTACTGCAGGGATTGGCATTTGTCTCTTGTGTGAGCTGTTGCTGGGGTTTGAACTTCAGGCCTTCACTTGCTTAGCTGGCTGCCTTGCTCAGCTGGTACTGTTTGGGCCACAGCTCCAGCCCAGCTGGTTATTTATTTGGAAGATGGGAAGGTCACAGACTTTGCTGCCTGGGCTGGCTTAGAACTTCAATCCTCCAGATCTCAGCCTCCTGAATGGCTGGGATTACAGGGGTGAGTCACCAGCACATGGCTCGCAATCCATGTCTTACCCTTACTTTCTCATTTAGAAATCTGCCTTAAAATAGAACTTGACGACTGGGATTTGGGGTGTCCCTTTGATTTGGGGGGCCTTTGCACCCCCTTTTCCCATCCTGCCTGGATCCTATAGCCTCCTTTCTAGAAACCGGAACCAGCTCTCTGCCTCCCCTACCCAGCCTCATTCTTGATTGTGAGCTCGTAAGATGATGACAAGGAGGAAACCACAGCTGAAGTGACTTAGCACCGAGGGTTCATTCAAGGGTGTCCTCTGAGCCCTTTGGTTTCAGTGCTGTTACTGGGCTCACAGAGGCCCAGGGGGTGAAGGAGTCGGCGGAAGGGGTGGGGGCTGCAGCTGGGGAGGGGGCTGAGAGAGGAGGGACTTGTGCTCTGGCTCCTGAGTCCCCACCCTCTCCCAGGGTGGTGTTTCTGAGGCCGAGCAGCTGAGATCTGAACCCAGCCCCTGCCTCTTGGATGGAAGCATCCAGTCCTCTTCCCTGTCCCCCACACCCCGCACTTTAGGGACCCACTCAGAGTCTGCCTGGCTACAGGATGGATGACCACAGGGGTCCCCAGCTCCTCACCTTCACCATTAGTTCTCCTCCCCACCTAACACCTGCAACAAGGCTCCGCGGTTCCAGGCTGGTAGGAGCGGGTCATGTCTGGTTCTCTGACTCTGTACCCAGCCCTGTCCGATGAGCACTCCCGGGGGAACTGAGACTTCTGGGAAGTGCCATCTTTGAGATGGTGAAACTGAGGCCTGCCCCCCAACTCAAGGCCACAGTGGGTGTCAGAGCTCGAGTCAAGCTGAACTCTGGCCCCAGCCTCTCTATCCCAACCCCTTCCTCCCCAGCCCCTCCAGC